TATTTTAATAAAGAAATAAAGTTCTAGTAATAGAATGATATCAAATAGATTTTATAGACTATATTGGAACATAGAGCATGAATTATATTAGTATAAAAGTTTTGATTTACATTTTAAAGTCTTTTTGCAATAGTGTATTTTCAAAGATGTGATCATTTCTTACTATAGACAATCTATTTTTAGAAGATATACAAATTTACCATCAAAGTGAGCAAAATCATTTTTCCTTATAACCAAATGGCAACATCTGATTTTACATCTTTGACGTCATTGTAGGTAAATGAGCGAGAACGTCTCCTAAGATTTGTCGGTCTCTGAGGTCTTCCTTCCATCAAATGTAAATAGATATCAGATTTCAGAAAACGTGTATAACTGTCTTGTTCCATGAGCTGATATACTCTGCTCTGTGCTGCATCAAAACTGTGGATGGTGGGTTGTATGATGCTCTTGGCAATGACTTCTCTGGTATGAAAATCAAGATTAACCTGGGTAAAGAGGAAAAAATTTAATTGTGGTCAATCTATTTAAGACAACACCTTGGAGAACACATTAGGACTCATACAATGTTGGAGTGGGCACAGTGTGTTTGGACCTCTGGGGGTGTTTCCTTCTATAGTCTAGGGATCCAGTGATGTATTCTGGACTGGACTTTACTTAGTTCTCCTGTCCCTTGTTCCTACTTACTCTCATTTTAATTCAACACAATGGGTTAACAATGCAATGGAAGGTGTCATAAGGATCATTAGATTAATCCAATCATTTTCACAGTGAGTAATTAAACTCCGTAGAGTTCAGCAGAAGCAAGAGGCTTATGATATCTTTGGGATATCAATAAGAACCTTCTTCTTAGCCTAGAGCTTGTTTCATTATGTTATCTTTCATATGAGCAGAAGTGTACTAACATATCAATAAGTCTTAAACACAGAAAATCCTTTAACTTTCTTAATGTCACTACTGATAATATGTGGTACTAAGGATGGTATGCTTTAAGTTAAGGACTCTGTTTTCCACACCTGGGAAAGCATATAATCTGGTTATTTTAAAATAACTGAACAACTACCTTTTCTTTTGAATCAACATCTACATAGACTTTATAGACTATGTTGTGGTTGGATCATAATGGTTTCCCAAATATTCATATGATAAAGGGTTGGTTTTCACTCTGTGTTATTATTGATGTTATGGAACCATAGTGATGCAGCACACAGTGGAAAGAAGTTAGGTTGTTGAGGTCATGCCACTGAAGGGAATATTAGACTGGGTCTGTCTATCATCTGCCTATCTATCTATCATCTATCTATCTATCTATCTATCTATCTATCTATCTATCTAAAAAATCTAATCTATTCTATCTATCTATCATCTATCTATCTATCTATCTATCATCTATCTATGTATCATCTATCTATCTATCTATCTATCATCTATCTACCATCTATCTTCCTATCATCTATCTATCATCTATTTATTTATCTGTATCTCTATCTCTCCAGCCACTTCAAAGTGTACATCACATATCTATAGCATTATGTATTGCTGTGCTGCACTCCTCAAAGCTGCAAGGCCAAAGAACCATGATCTGAAAGTACTGAAAGCAAGATCCAAATAACATTTTCCTTCTTTAATTTGAATGATCTCAGGTATTTGGCACAGAAGTAGAAAGCAAATACAGATAGAATTATTTTAGAGATGAATAATAGTGAGAGAACGTTAGTTTTACCAGACATGTGAAGTGTTTATTGAATAGTCAGTAGAAATGCACAGTTTAATATCTGATGATGTCAAATGATATTTGTTAATCTCATAGTCATTTTAGCAATTGTACTACAAGATTTGCTCATATTTAGTTTGTATTCGAACAAAAGAACTACTTTTTTCACATGCACCATTGCCAAAGTAGACCCATCAAATGAAATTTTCTTTTTTCCAATGTTAAAACGAATAATTCCTCTGGACAAAAAAAAAAAAAAAACAAACTTTGTATAGGTGAATAAGATAACTTAGTTTTTAAAATTATACTGATTTTTTTATTCTTGGAATGGAGTGGGGTGGGTGTTCCTGCCATGGCTCGTGTGTGAAGGTCAGAAGACAGCTTGAGGGGCTTGGTTTCATTTCTTCATGATGTGAGACCCAGGGATCAAACTCAGGTCATTAGGCTTGCCAGTAAGTGCCTTTACCCTCTAAGTCATCTCACTGGCCCAAAACAACCTTACGTGGAAAACACTGATTTTTCTCGCCTTTATCACAAGCAGGAATCTTTAAGATAGTTAATACAAATTAGAGAAGAAATCAAAATATTGCATTCATATTTGCTTTGGGTCTGACTCTCATAAGTGAATTTATATATTTAACCAATGATAATCTTAAAATATCTATATCTATATATTATTAAGCTTTTTAAAATTTCATACATATCCCACTCAAATCCACATCCCCTCCGCCATCCATGCCTCCCACTATCTCCCCACTGAACCCTATGCACTCTGCCATACAGATTCTATGAAAAAGTTTCCAGGGAATTATGTGTTTTAATCATTGTTACCATACCTCTTGTGGAGCATCAGTTTGTATAAATTTCTCATATATTGTTTTTGCTTTCTGGATGATTTGTTGAGGGTCCTTGATTTTCTTGAAATCTTCACAGGCTACCCAAAATTCAATGTTTTCCTCACTGAATTCAGTTTTAAGAAATCTGGTAAAAGCATCCATTCCATCTACCAAAATAAATAATAATAATATATTATTACTATGAAATAGTCATGCTATGAAGATATCCCATTTGGCATTAAATTATAAATACTAACGATAAGTTAGGATCTCCCTATAATTCAATAGGGCCTCATACATTTAGATAATCTCTATGAGGAATTTCATATAGATTAACTGTTTAAGCAGATGAAAGAAAAATATAATTTTTGTTGAAATAAGACTAACTCTTAAATCTAAATTCTTAAACTTAAAAGGAAGAGGGACCCTACTGTGCACCTCAATTTGTATCTCTTGTGTCTGTGCCCCTCCCAGAGCAGGGAGGCTTATTCTATACACCTGTGAGGTCTTTCAATTAGACCCATTTCCTCAATTCCAGATCACACTTCTGGCACTATTCACCCTGAACTTCTCTGCATATTGGCTCTGCATTTCTAGGTTTGGCATGGCTCCCAAGACTGTCCACCAAAACTACACTCTTAGTTCTGACTACAGGTAGGCTTAAATTAACACGTCTTGTATTCAAGGAGGTCTCACACAGGCTTAGGAGAAAATAATCCACAGACACGAAATGAAGGAATACAGAAAATACTTTGTCACATAGAACTGTGATGGTTTTAAAGAATTTAAAATCATATATGATCTTCCAGGAAGTTTATAGAAGTATGTTTTCTAAAATAAAAATATAAGGCACATGATAATTACATAAACATCATGGTGTGGTTGTGATGGTGGCATTGATGGTGATGATAGTAATGGTCGTTATCAATAATTTAGGCTCAACCAAATAATGTTTATGTTGCCAAAAAGTAATAACTTTGGCTCCAACTGTATGATAATTGAAATTAAGCTACAATTTCTTCGATTACTTTTGACATATTTTAGGCTTATGATTCATTTTTAAGATTAAGCTTATATATTTTCAGAAAGCATACGTTCACTTGTTCTTACAGGAAATAATGGAGATATAGCTTATCTCATATACACTTTATCTACATCTCACCAGTATGACAACTTGGAAAAACTCTTGTAAAATGAGATATTGAAAACAACTCAGAAACAATAAAACTGCTCCAAGCTAAAATTTGATATCATTAAAAGGCTTAAATCACATTACAAGAAATTATCAAAAGAACCTTCTTCAGACTTCCAATGCTCCTGTAACTACTAAAGTATCTTTTCTCCTTATAAGTTTTCTACAAATGACCTCTTAATCTCCTTTGCCTCATTTTCTTTCTAACAAACTAAAATGCAGTTTCTATTACACACTATATTTAAATTATTTTTCAAAATTGGCTTAACGAACATTTTTCTTCAGTCTGCATGTTATGTTTGCTCTCTACAACAGGAGCCATGATGGAGATATGTCTGTACTCTATTTTGACCCAAAGATATCCAGTCCCAAGTTTCCTCTAACACTTCTTAGTATGTTTTTTTTGAATCCTTCTCAATTTAGAGTTTCAAAATATATGGAACAAACTAACAGAATTGAAAGAAAAATTCAGATGTAGCAATGTATTTTAATTGTTTGCACATGAATTGATAGAACAAGCCAATAATTAGTGATAATATATAAAACTTAAATTAGTTGCCAAATCAACCTAAGTGACAATTGTAGATCACACTACCCAAGACATTTCACATACACTAGGAAGATTTCCTAAGACACATTTTATTCTGAAATGTAAAATGAGTATAATTTCAAGGTTTGATGCCTTAGTGCTGCTGATGTAGCTCGGTGTAGAGCATTTTCCTATCATGTGAAGGCACTGGGTTTGATCTCCAGTGCTGCAAAACCAAAACAAACAAAGCCAGTAAAAACCATTTTGATATCTTACAGATTATGTCTTGTTTCTGCTAGGGGTTGAATTAAAGATTAGCACTAATAACATAGTAAAAAAAAGCTTCTGAATATTTGGAAACAACACATTTTCAAATTACATATATATCAGAAAAGAAATCACAAGGGAAACTAGGAAATCTATCTTAGTAGAAGTACAGGGCATCAGAATTTGTGGGCATGTAGCATAATCAGTGCCTACAGGGAAACATATCATAATTACTTGTCAAAGAAAGGGGAGATGAATATCAAGATGTTGGTTTCTGCTTTAAGAAGATTGAAAAACAATAGCAAGTGGAATTTAAGTAGAAGGGACAAACAAAAATAAAAAAGGAGAAATATGTATCACAGGAAACAAAACAGAAAGAAAATTAACAAAGCAAAGTTTGTTCTCTGAAAATATCAGTGAAACTTCTGTCTAGCATGAATGTGTGTAGTAGTAAATCAATGAGGGACATTACTGCAGCTCTTACAGATGACACAAAGACAGTCATGGTCATCAGGGATGACTTTATGCCAACAAATAAATGGTCTAAAAAATTGAAAATTATTTTTAAAAAAAAGTGACATGCATTAACTAAAAAATCTGATATCCTAATTTAATTAAAGAGCAGATTTTACAAGAAAATATCTATCCTTCCCAGCTCCATCATATTTGGAGCTAGATTTGGAGAATTCCAAGCCTTTTAAGAAAAAATATTTTAATCTTACAAAATATATTCCAGATAATATAAGAAGGTTGCATAGTTTCCATATCACTTTCTATCATAAGTCTAATACATGAACCTAAAAAATACATGATACTTTTCACATGAAAAAATAAAATTAAAACTAATAAAGAAAATCATACAGCAATATTTCTCATGAGCTAAGTTCTAAAGATTCTGAATAAATATTTAAAAACAAAATCCAGAAATTTACAAAGGAGGAAGCAAATATCCTGACATCATGGCTGAAAATAAAAAGAAGCAAATTATAGCTTTCTATATCTACAAGACTCATTTCTCAAATATTTCCATTTCTTGTTTAACTGTTCTCTAGTGCTATTCCTCAAGATCAGTGATTATTTCTACTATTAAAAGACTTATGTAAAATTTTCTTGACTACTTATCTCATTGCTGTGACAAAATACCTGAGAAGAAGGAATTTAAGGGGTTAAGCGTTCATTCTGGTCTAGAATGCAAGGAAATAGTCCATCATGGTGGGAACGTACTGTGGCAGAGCTGGCAGGCTACTGTTGGCATTGCAACCAGTCAGGAAGGAGAGATGGTTAATGCTGCGGCTCAGCAATTTCCCCTTCTTATTAAGTCTGAAACTCGAGCCCATGGGATGGTGCCACCCACAGTGAGACTTAAATCTTTCTACCTTTAATTAACTTAATCTAGAAAATCCTTCAAAAATCCACTCAGAACCTTGTCTCCTTGTTCACTCTAGATCCTATAAAGTTGACAGTTCATACAAATGAGTCTCCAATAATGGTGATAGCTGAAGTGTTTTGTGATTTTAACATGTTTTGAGGTCTTAGTGCAGTGTATAGGCATCACCTTATACAATTTTGTAAGGGGTTATCTGGAGTCTTCCCTGTATTCCCTTATACAGCTGTGGAAATTGAATTCCAGGTAAATTCATTTCCCTCATATACTTTTCATAAACATATAGAATTATATCTCATTTGGGAAGACAATATTTCTTGTGTCAGAATAATTTCCCTAAACTCCATAATCTGGAGATTTTATCTGACACAGGCCAAGTAGTACTGTAGATGTGACTGTTAAAGTGTGACTTGAGGTGGGAAGACAAGATAGGCCCAAACTAAATGTAAGTTCTTAAGAGCAGAAGAAGGAAGAAGAGTAGGTCAGAAATGCTGGGTTAAGATTTGATTCCTTGCTGTCACCTTTGAAGATGAAGATAGCCATGAATCATGAAGCAAGGATTAGTGAATTCTAGAATATGACATTGATCCTTGCTGCAGAAAAAAATGGGACCTTGGCCTAAAACTATTAAGAACGTATTTATGTGAGTGTTGTTAGTGGCTCAAATGAACAAGAAAGAGATGTTCCCTTAGACCACACAGAAAAGATGACTGCAGACAGCAACTTTCTTCAGTTAATATATTATTTTCTTATTTCAGGTGAATTTTAAAATTTATTTTTAAAAAGGTTTTTGAAAATTTCATACCTCATTTCCATTCATCCCTCTACCCTGTCTCACTCCTCCTGTGTTTCCCCTACTCTCTCTCAAATTCATGACTTCTTCCTCTTTGATTATTATTGTTTTTTAATATTTTATTTATTATCTTTATTTTTGTGTATGAGTGTATTGTCTGCATGTATGTAAATGCACCTGTGTTGTGCAATGCTCATGGAGGTCAGAATAGGGCATCATATTCCCCTGGAACTGGAGTTACGATTGGTTGTAGGTGCCATGTGGGTATTGGGAGTTGAACCTGGCTCCTCTGCAAGAGCAGCCAGTGCTCTCTCCAACCCCTAATTATTACCGTTATAAACATACTCATGCACACACATGCACACACACACACACTCCTGAGTCTGTTTAGTGTTACCTGTATGTGCATGTGTTTAGGGCTGACCACTTGGGATTGAATAACATCAAGATTCCTCCCTTGAGAAATCAGTTCTCCTTCTCTCAGCAGTCATTAATTGCTTATAGCTCTTCATCTAAGCATGGAGCCTCTTGAAATTGCCCCATCTACACTGAAATATCCACTGTACTAAGGGTGTTTGAAAAAGTCATAGGTAAATATATTATTTAATAAAATTATTTAAAATACACATGTAATATATGTGTAAACATACATTACAATATATGTATATATGTTTTAAAAGAGTTATATCACATAGGGTGATAATGTTCCCCCAAGAGCTATAGCTAGACAAGGGAAACTTCCCTTCAAGTTGTTGGTTTGGGGTTGGGGGACATTCCAAAAGATTTTCAAAATAGTATTGACTACTACCATTGCCCTTGGCTGCCTCCCAGAACCTGGGAGTAAGTAAGATCTATTGCTGAAGATATCACACACTTCAGACACAGGACCTGGAGAAATCGAGCTATAACTTATGTGGAAATCACATACCTGGGGACTAGCTCCCATAATACCAGAAGGGGTGCTATGCAACTTATCAAGGGAGAAAAGCAATCAATAGTCCT